CATTATTACTGGATTAAAACATGACGAAAATTCGTTGGCAAGTCCATCAAAACGTATTAACCAGCTGAATAATGGGAGTGAACTGATGAGGCGCATTTCTTTCCCGCTCTCGCGCGCTTGAAATATTGTAGGAGGAGGATTGGTTGAACACTAATATCAGTTGCAGTTTTAGCTTCGGAACTGGCAAAATTTTTGATTGCCAAAAAGACATACATAGGTTTCGAGGATAAAGCAGATGGGCCAACAGGGATAAAGGATTCCTTTCGAACTGGAAAATCTTGATAAGTTTGCAAAATTTTTTACGGAAAAAGGAAAGGGATGAACCATGTGAGGGGGGAATGAGGCTACTCGAACTGCACCTCATGTCGGCCATTTCCGGTCTTGATGAGTGTCATTTTTGTGTAGTTGTTAGTTTCTGACAAAAAGAGTGCAGCTTGTTTTTCGGACACTCTGACCAAAATGACTTCATATTGCTAGTTTGCACCCAATTTTTTTAGTCTTTAAGATGTTGATTTCGAATTTAGCTGTTCTGGGCCGAATTATGCGTTGTTTGACACTTTTGAGCTGCTTTCTTTCTGCTTTTTGCATCCCTTAAATTTTTGCTTTTTTGTTCCCGTAGATATTCCCTTCGTCTCGTCGGGATTTAATGCGGTGTTCCCTTTACAACGTTTTGCTATAAAAAAAAGCGTTCATAAGAAGGAAACTTGCTGATATAAGTTAAATAAATGATTTGCTTAATATAGGACGTAAAGAAGATATTGACGGATAAAAAGAAACCCGACAAAGTATTGATGAAGACAGCGATCTTGTCACTACCCATGCAACATTTGCCGAAATTGCTTGATGAATACACCGCTGTGGCGGGACATCCGATCGAAAAAGACATCGAGGTTTGTTACTTATATTGCGCGATCAATTTCAAAATTGCTTTACTTTTTTAACTTTGTCTTTTCCAGCGTCACCTCTTAATTCGCAAAGTCCCTAGTTGGACAACAAATATTCTGATAAAATCTCAGCTGTTGTTTTCTGATTTTCGAGTTGGCACAGTGCCAGCTGCGAACTTTGACGTGATCGCACGTGGGAAGCAAGCGTGAGCGGCAATAATTGTTTCCCCTCTCCCCGCTCCTCCTCTTGCCCGGTTGACTTCTGCATCTTCTGACTAATTGTAGCAATTTTTTGGTTAAATTTTCCGGTACTCAGCAGCATTCTTACATTTCCCCTCACACAGTGTCCATCTCTTCTCTGTTTTTACCACTGCTCAAGTTGTTTTATTTTCTGCTTCAATTTTTACAGAAGCAGTTCAGTGGTGATGCAAAGAAAGCTCTGCTTGCTTTGGTGCAGTGTTCGAGAAACGCAAGCATCTATTTTGCAAACTTACTCAATGATTCAATGAAGGTAACTCAATTTCCCATTGATGAGACCGGTTGATATGCGCACATTCATATGGAATTTATGAATTCCTAGCTTAATAAAAGGATTCGAGCTGACAAATCGCGTAATGGACGGCGA